GAAAAATTTCACAATATAATGGCAGAATTTGATATTACAAAGTAAATTCAATGTCAAGCAGAAGTACTTATTCATAAATTTTGTACCCCTGTTGCTTGTGGATTCAACACATTGATTTTCAGAAATAGTTCTCTTCTCAAGCAAGGACACTCAAAAACTAAAAAGGTTTTGAAAATTGAATGAGGATCCTATCAGAACCAACAACCCCTATAGGAATGTGGTGGTTTGCACCATAGATAGATAAGTTAAAATTTTCAAACTGATCCCAACCACCTTTGAATAGTATAGGTTACCCTCTATATGAGTAAAGATTATATCAGAACCAGTCCTATAAATCACCTCTATGCGGATACTGTGGCAACCCGCCATGTGTACACTAAAAAAGTTACTGTCAATAGAGAAAACTAAGCGCCTCAATTAACATATCATCTTCTACTTGGGTCTTTCTGTTCAAACAAACCACCATTCATAAGAGCTACGATGAGATCCATAGTCCATACCACCAATACGCATCACCGGTGTCCGCCTCCTCCATCCCCAGCATTGACAATGTTATGGAGCCATAATAATTAAAAATAAACATAAACAATGAGTCATGACGTCTATTCCTCCCAAGCACAAGATCTTTACCTCTTTTACATCCTCTTTCACTACCTGCTATAAAGTCATGGACTTCCATTATTAGACTCTTTTATTTTGGAGATTTCATAAGCCATTTCCAATTTCCCGAATTTCTCATCCCTAACATATTCTTATACAAAGCAATCATATATTTCTCTCTGACCAACAACCCAAAATCTGATAATGGGTTCCCTTCAATCACACATATAATCACACCCAGTAAGCAAAATATTCAATAGAATCACAAAATCATAAAATGGGCATCTCTCAGATCTACAGAAGATCTCAAGATAGATGATCTCTCCTCTCTGTATTGTTTGATTTTGATGATATTTTGATTTGTTTTGGAGATATCTGCTGATTTTATCATGGAAACTGGTAATAGTGCTACTGCGATAGGACTCAGTTGGAAAACTCTGGACTCGTATTCTTTTATTTCAATTTTAATTTTAGTGTCTGTTCCCACAGATTAATATCGAATGGAGCTGCATAGAGAAAATAATAAGACAGGTTCCGATATGATTTATACTCCCATTATATGGGGTTCTTCTAATAGAATGTGCACTACACATGGGGGTTAAGTAATAAAGATGTCGGGCGAAGCGTGACACAACAAACTTACCTACTTGTACACAAGCTTGTTCATCGGTGTCATAAATTAGCAGCAAGTTTTTCCAGGTTTATTAAGCATAATAGATGTACTTATCTGCTTCACTCAACCTCCCATAGTAGAAAAGTAATTCTGCAGGGTACTTCAGTTATTAATCAATCAAAAATGTGCCAAACATGCTCCATAGTGGTTCAACTAATTCTTGTTCTCCTCCAATATTTTACTTCAACATAGCAGAAATTCACGGCACAAACACCCAACCCCAAATCATTAGCACATGCATAAACATATACAACAATCATCCATATTGGAAGTCCATTGCTATATGTCAACAATCACTTCCTTGATCAACTTTATGGAGGATTGACTATTGATAGACTTCTTTGCGACTCAGCAACAACATCTTGATGCTGGAACCTAGCCCATGTTTAATAGACACTTATCTGTCAGATAGATGCTACATAATGTTAAACAAGAGTAGTGCTCTAGTGATCAATCACCTTGACACCCCATAATTTCAGTATTATATCACACATAAATCTCAGTGAAATAAAGCCATGGTAGTTGTGGATTTATTCTCCAAATCTAAGTCTAAACATTCTTTTCACAATCACGCATCTCTAGTAATCCATAATTTCCTGAATAAATATATTTGATTTGATAAAACTAGATCAGCTGAAGTTTCCTGCCAAAACGGTGATGTAATTGATGTCCTTGTGCTATAAAACCAAAAGATATCCGGTCAAGGTAACTCTTACTCCATTTCAAAGAGTGGTGTCCTCCTCCACAAAATTAGAAGCAAAGACTGAAAACCTAATAATACCATTCCCACTTTTCCACATAACTAGCATTTTGTTTAGTATATCATAAAATATCCCAACTACCCTCTCTCTGGGCTTGCTTGACTAAAAACAAACACAGAGACATGTAAGATAGAGGAAGAGAGAGATATCAACAGTTGCTTACAAGATGGAAGTTCCATATCGAAAATCCACACTGATTGTTGTAATCTAAATTTTCAGAGGAGAAATAAAAAAGAAAGTTGTTCCCCTTTATTTTTCCATGCATCAACCAGAAAATTGGCACTACGAACATTTGAAGTCTGTAGGGTATCTTTTTGCCACTTGATGGCACATGGTAAAATGGTCAAGAAATATTTGATCCCATAATTTCAGGTTGTTAAGCCAAAGTACATATAATTAACACTATATATTTCCATTGTTAGGTAACCTTTGTTCGCCTTAGAATTTTGATTTTGACCATAATGATTACACCCCTGGTACCTCTAAAACCAGGCCCGCTTAAAGGTGGTCCTCTATACTAAATTATGCATTGTAAATTCGTAAGAGTGGTATACGCCAGCTACACTAGCGCATATCCATATTTAGGGAAATGAATTATTAATTTTATAAATTATATAAAATTAAAAAAATTATTTTGCAGGCAGCTAGACCCACCACTAGCAAGTAGCAACTTGAGTTGCTCATAATCGGCTAGTGAATAAAATGCAGGAAGAAACCACCATTGCTTTTTTCAGTCACTATGTAAAACAATCAACTAGACAAAAACTCAAACTTGCATGGTACCCTGTATGCAGCCTTTTCTAGTGGCCACGTCATATACTAACTAGCAACTACATTTCTCCACATAGCGCTAGCACTCAATGCACATGACCCTGTTCCTAGAACGCCTAGGCAGCTACCTAAGTGATGTGCCCAGCACATTAGTACGTGTCAAGACGATTTTTACATTACGGATAAAGACTAGGAAGATGCATAATGTTGCCCATAATAACTAATATGATAATCAATGAGTCTCCACTCCAATCATCCATATTTATAACATTCAGCTTCAATTTTTCATTCCAGAGATCTATTCCTTTTTTTTAATTAACTCATCTGCAAAATCAACACCTTTCCAAGTTCTCTACCTTCTAATATAGGATTATCCAGCTTTTGGAAGCAAGCTTTATAGGCCCTGATTGCCAATATATTGACTAATCAAATATGTTTTGCTCAAACTACTATATCATGGATTGCAAGTTTAATCATCATTTTCTAGAGCTAACCCCACCAATATGGCTATTATAATTTATAGGGAAAAATGCTTCCAGCCCACAAAACTAATGAAAATGGCTCCCCTCAAGACTTTTTCAACGCTCTCAAAACCCCCAAATTCGTAAGAACTATGCACTGAGCTCCCAAAACACAAAGCCCAAGAATTTTACACAGGTAAAGACTATAATACCATTTATCTCTCTTATGGGCATTGATCACCTCCTCCCCCCTCCAATGCTTCTCCTTGTGTCCCTGTCCCTGACCGCCGTCGTCCCCTGCAGCGCCCGCGAGCTCAAGTCCGACGAGCGTCAGCTCTACCTCATCCACCTCCTCCCTCCTCAACTGCGCCAACCACATCGCCTCCTACTTCTCCGACGCCCTCGCCCTCCGCCACCTCCGCCCCTGGCCCGACCTCTGCCGCGCCCTCACCTCCACCTCCCTGACCCCTCCCTCTCCCGCCAACACTTCCTCGACCTCTTCTCCTTGTTGTTGCTCACTTGTGGTGTGATTATGGTGTGGTGGTGTTCAGCTTGTAGTAGGAGATAGAAGGCTTGATTGTAAGTTTTTGCTTTCAAACCCTTGATTTTACTCTTAAACCAAGTGGTTTTATTTTCGTGTTGGTTGTTAAGGTTACGGGTTACTTATTAAGATTTTACGTGTTGGTTGTTAAGGTTCAGATTGCTTATTAAGGTTACGCGTTGGTTGTTAAGGTTAAGCGTTGGTTGTTAAGTTTATACGCGTTGATTGTTAAGATTACGGGTTGGTTATTAAAGTTAAGCGTTGTTGTTAAGATTATACGTGTTGGTTGTTAAGGTTAATGGTTACTTGTTAAGGTTACGCGTTGATTCTTAATGTTAACTGTAATCTTAACAAGCAACCCGTAACTTTAACAACCAACGCGTAACATTAATAATCAACACGTATAACCAACACTTAACCTTAACAACCAACGCTTAACCTTAACAAGCAACGTGTAACCTTAACAAGCAACATGTAACATTAACTAACACGTAAATTGCTTGGCTTTTGAAAATTTTATGAAAATATTAAAAGTGAAATATTATTACAAAATCCAGGTCACTCCAACCACCTAAAACAAACGTATACATCATCGTAGAAGTCCAAAAAATTGTTACTGCTTTTTATTTTTATGAATTATTATAGTAGAAGTCAAAAAAATTAAAGTTTTTTTCTATTTCCTTCTTTTTTTATTTTTATGAAGATTTTACGGATTGGTTGTGAAGGTTACAGGTTTACTTGTTAACTAGTTTTAAGCCCGTGCGATGCACGGATTTCTCTAAAATACAAAAATTGATGTAGCAAAATAATACAAAATAAAAAGGTAATAATATGTAAGTAGTAAGAAATAATACAACCTAAACTGCATATATGTTTGACTTAATATTAAACTATTAAAAAGAATGAAAATATAATTCTCATATTCTCATAACAAAACTGCTTAAAATGCCTAATGTCTTTATGATTAATGTCATAATAATTTTTTATAGCAAGTAATTAGTATAAAGTATAATTTTTTGTTCCAAACAAAATATTCAAAGCACATAGAGATACATGTCAATTATATATATTTGAATGAAAATAATAACTATCAATATATTGATAAACCAAATATCCAGCATAACATAATCATATCAAATATTTAGGTTTACCAACCCAAAACCACCAAAATAATCTACACTGATTACAAAAGCTTACTAAATATGTGTTCATACAAGAATACTAAATATAAGTTTCATACATCAAAAATCAGATAGGTTTTTCCCTTCAAAATGTAGCTTCTACTCTACGTAGAATCTAGTAATTATCTTTTTCAATTTTGATAAGCTTTTCCTTTTTGTTGCTTGACATTTGCGGAGAGATCAAGTCCACTGAAACAGATTGCTCGACATCAGATTCGAACAAATTTCTCTTGCAAGGTGTAATGTTATCCGAGGAACAAATTTCAACTTCTGTATTGTCACAAGTGACAGATAAAGAGACCTGTGTTTCATTATTATAAAATAAAATAATAGTTTGCATGTTAATGAGATGGTAGGAATAGATTGTTCTACAATTAATGTGAAGAATTAAGAAATCATAAGTAAGTTGAAAAGTAGGCGGCAATACAGAAGAATGACAAATAGAACATAAGACACAAATAATGTTAACTAAACTTCAATCTTTTATTTGATGTGAAAACTTCTAAAACTCAAATGGTTAAAAAATCTTGTATTGTTAAAATTCATTGTACTCATATGTTAGATAAGAATCTAACAATATATAATGCATTCTTTTAAAAAATCTAACATTAAATTCATATTCTACACATTTTGGGAAAATAAAGGCATGTTTATTTTATCTATTTAGTTAGTATAATTATAAGATATAAAGAAAAGTTTCTGGAACTGTTATTGTGAAGAATCAATAGAGGAATAGTAAAACAAAATTCAAAGTGAAACCTGTGTAATAAGCAGAAACTTCAAAAGTGTATCTTCTGAAGTAAGTATTGTGAAATATACAACAAAAATTAGGTTTTAGAGAAATTTAACTTGTCCGGATGTCCCCTTAATTATGAAGATAGGTATTGAGGTGTTAGTATTAGTTATGATCATACTTCAGCCTGGATGGAGGTTGTACATATAAAGCGTATGGTGTGACGTCAATAGTTACTTTTCATTTTATACCAAAAAATAATTAAAAAAAATACAAACATTAGGAATGAAAAAGAGAAGTTATACTAAGTGTGTTGACTTACATTATCAAGATGAACTTTCTTTTTGGAAGATTCAGCTTCATTAGTGAAATATTCTTGACATGTCGACTCCTAATGATTTAGAATGAAAAAATATTACTAATACATTGCTCAACTTTATTTATATATGTAGAGTGATACATGAAATGAATACATATGTAGCTTTATAAAAGAAGAAAATATGTAATGTACATGGTTCAAATCTAAGCTGTCTTTGAAAGCTGCTATCAGATTTTTATCATTTCTTTTGAACTTATGTGTCAAATACTCTAGCTTGGAAGGTTTGCGATAGGGGAATGCGAGCCTAATTTGATGACCATCCCTTCCCCAGAATGATAATGTTCTTTTTCTTGTTGTTCGTTTCACAATCGCCATCACTAAAAAAAATGTATGTTAGTATTTGTGATTAGAATCCTAGATGGGGAAGGGATGGCTCCAAGTTTCTACATAGTGAAATGCATAAATTGATGTAGTAAAAGAATAAAAAAAAGAATACAGTGTAAAAAATAAGACAACGTATGATCAATAATAAGTTATTTCCTACACCCTGGTTTGTTCAAGTCCTTTTGGCACATAACTTCAGCACATTACTATGAAAAGTGATATGATTCTACAGTGGCCTGAATGTAGCAACTTGTAAGAATTACTCCTGACAACATAACTTCTGCACATTACTATGGAAAGTTAACCAAAAGTGATATGATTTAAGCAGGTTGTGTCTATTTTGTTGAAGTGTTGTTTTGTTGTTTTATGTGTCCAGGTGTGAGCTTGTATGGAAGTGGACAGTGAGGGGATATTTTCAAGTAACTTCATAATACCAACTATATTAATTATACTTCACCTTAAGAAATGAATGGCAGTTGACTAATATGGAAAACTATGTGAAACAGTGAGATGGATGAGCCTTTTGCAGTTGAATTCAGAATATGATTCACCTATATGCATACAGATGGCACATATAACTGTGCTCTAATCATGATAGCTAAATGCAGTTGTTGGCTATTATCTATAGGCTGGTACTGCTTTGTATGTTTATGCTTATAATGTTGGAAGCTTAGTTTTGATTACCTACATAGAGACTGCTTGATCTAATGTAAGCTGGTTTAATAGTCTTGGTTTAGCTAAACATGAGATATTTGCATGAAGCTCTCTCAGAAATATAGGAGTTAGCATCCATGTGAAAACAGAATCACAGACATGAGTACATGAAAACTTTAGAAAATTAGAAATCCTCAAAATCCAATGTCTCATGCTTTATATGTTTATACTTATAATGTTGGTAGCTTAGTTCTGATTAACCATGTAGGGACTGCTTGATTTAATGTAAGTTGGTTTAGTGGTCTTGGTTTAGCTAAACATGAGATATTTGCATGAGACTCTCCCAAAAACACAGGAGTTAGACACATCCATGTGAAAACATAGTCACAGACATGATTACATGAATGCAGAATATTAGAGATGCACAAAATCCAATGTCTTGTGTGAATTCAACGATTTTTCCAGAAACAAATATATGTGGATTGTGGTAAATGGACCAATCGTGTGATTAGCCAGTTAGCTGCATAGCATGCCCTGATATTTGATTTGGGAGGTAGAGGATTAAGATGATATCAACTCCTGACAGTACACAAAAACCAAATGACTGCTATCAAATTAATATTCAAAAGCTATGGAGGTTTAAGCAAGTAGCATGGAGAAATGGCTACACATGTATAGCATAATCAAGAATGAAAGTCATTCCAAACTCTTTACTACCCATGCAACAGAATAACTTCAGCACATTACTCCTGACAACATAACTTCAGCACATAACTCCGACAACATAACTTCAGCACATAACTTCAGCACATTACTATGGAAAGTTAACCAAAAGCACATTACTATGGAAAGTTAACCAAAAGCACATTACTATGGAAAGTGATATGATGCTACAGTGGCCTTAATGTAGCAACTTGTAAGAATTTGAAACTTCACTGAGCTGTAAACAACAAAATCAGTCAACTGAGCTTGTAAGAATTTCAAAAATCAGCATTAATATAAGCTTATAAGTTATATATACAAGTTGTATTAATGCATTCGCATAAGACCTCAATGAGCTGTAAACATGTTACAAGTATCTTAGATCAGTCAACTGAGCGGTATACATATTGTCAAGATTAATACCTGCTCGATGATAACAAAATAGTGGGAATTAGCCTGCATAATAAAGTTTAACAACAGTGAGTACCAATCGAATAAATCAAAGCAATTATGAATCAATTTCAGTAAAGAGTAAAGGTAAAACAGAGATTATAGGTCAGCAGAAGTAAGAAATTTCCCATCAAAAACTGACCATTCATTTCAAAGAAAATCAGATAAGAAAACTAAAAATTTACAGACTCAAGGCTAAATGAGAATCCATGAACCTTATATTTATTGTTCTATAAACATAATAATGTGTCACATATGCAAAACGTGCATATAAACTGGTTAAATAGACACCCACCGGTCTTTTTTTTAATCTCGGTTTAATATGCATCTCAAGATTAATTCCAATGTTATCGCACTTGTTTTACATCAAAATATCATTTTAAAAAACATGAAAACGTGGTAATACTGACATGTAAAGAAAGAAAACATTAAGTAAGAAAATCCCTTCACCTTGAGAACATTTAATAGCATATTGAACATTATAGGTAGGAATATTAGCATTAATCTGAACATATGGATCACTTACAGGGACGCCGACGACTGACGACCTTCGTCTCCAGTGACGCTAAACGCTTTTCGCAGCGTAGGGATCAGTCATCGCCGGGGGATTAGACGATGGTTTGATTTAGAAATTAGAGATGTGGGAATGAGGATCTGAGCCATTATATATATTCGTAATATCCTTCGGCGACGATTGGGTTCTCGAGGCGTCGATCGCGGGTAACGAAGCGTCGATCGCGGGTAACGAAGAACGGGAGAATAATGGGTTTGGGTGAAAGTTGATTTTGGGAAAGAGAGCAGAGACAGAACAATTTTCTTCTGTGTAAGGAGGTAGAAGAGAGGAACGGTGAAATGGAAGAATTGGGGGAAGACGAAGCAGCTCGTCGTTGGAATGTAAGTGGTGGAGAGAAGTTCGAAGCGGAGATTTAATGTGTTGAGGCCAGGTGGCGTGTATAATTGTATGGGTTAATTTTGCCAAGTGGCATTTTTGCAGGTGGCATAACCAAGAGTAACACTTATTAGTAATAGTATATAGATTAAGTCTCTCACAACAAAAAAACAAAGACAAAACGTTGCACAACTACGCATGAAAAAAAAAACAAAGACAAAACATTGCTGTGAGTCTTCAAGATTAATACCTGCTCGATGATAACAAAATAGTGGGAATTAGACTGCATGATAAAGTTTAATAACAGTGAGTACCAATCAAATAAATCAAAGCAATTATGTTTAAATATCAACAACATGTTTAAATAACATGTTTAAATATCAACAACATGTTTAAATAACATGTTTAATAACAGTGAGTACTAATAAGAAATTCCCACCAAAAAAAAACAAATTTCACTCCTTCTGCATATCAACAACATGTTTAAATATCACAATAATCAACTCAGTTAATGTTATCAATTATGCAATAACATCCAGGTTAATTTTCAAGCATGCCCATTTGCGTGCATATTTCAATCAATGTACTCATAAACTTGAATGCACATCCTATACATAGCATAACTTATTAGCAATGGTACAGGTTTGTGTACATAGAAAATGGTACAGATTTGTGCACATCCTATTTACAGCATGGAACATGTTTAATTGCTATTTGGTCAATAAAGAAATACATAACCTGTATTTACGATTTAGAGAAATGACCTTATTTTCGTTACCTGCTAACTCTGCATCTTAACTGATCTTGGAAAGTTTCACTTCAGAACTTACTGATCTTGGTGGAGTGATTACAATAACCATGGTCTTTTTGCATATGAGGGTAAGGACATTGGTACATAACAGTGACACCATGTTGCATTGAATCTTTGGTAACTTATAGTACACTGCATTTTTATTATGAGGTTATGTTTTCAGTATTTATACATCAACATACCTGGGAATGACATTTAATTACTATAATACACATCATATGTACGAATTTTATGGAGAGTCCATCGAAATTGACATTACATGTAAATAGTTCATAAAATAATTATAATGAATAGAAAACCATAGACATGTGTTCCCTACATTTTGCTGCATATCATCTCGCTTTTCTGTGTCCCTTCATATGGTTATGGGGTTATGCGTATTCGATATCTAAACTTAATATATAGTACAGTTTATGGAGCATAATACGCACAAGAAATTACCACAAAAAAAACAAATTTCACTCCTTCTGCATATCAACAACATGTTTAAATATCACAATAATCAACTCAGTTAATGTTATCAATTATGCAATAACGTCCAGGTTAATTTTCAAGCATGCCCATTTGCGATTTAGGGATAGTCTGGACAGCAGACCTAAGACTTGTTTTTCACTCTGTCAACAGTAAGAATAGAGAGAACTTACAACCATCCAGAAAGCAAGCATAAGTAAAAAGGCATTGTAAATTTTCAATACAGACCATGCATACAAATCCCAGGTGGCACTGGATACTTTATTAGTCATAGCTAAACAATAAACACATGCTTGGTATGAAGGTATTTCTTCATACCAAATTTCCATAGGCAAAGAGTGCATAAATATTCTTCTAATATTTCCAAACAATCACCAATGATTAATTTAGAGTCTGAATAAAGAGAAAGGTATTTATTCATAGCAAATTTACATGCGCAAAGAGAGCAACAATATCTTCTAGTATTTCCAAAACAGTCAACAACGATCAATTTAGAGTCTGGATATGGCAGGAGGGGGCAGATGAGAAGATGGTTATTTCAGAGAGAGAAGCAGAAGCATAAATGTTTTCAATTGAGTATCTGAATAAATGGAACATGTTTAATTGCTATTTGGTCAATAAAGAAATATATAACTTGTATTTACAGAGAACTTACAACCATCCAGAAAGCAAGCATAAGTAAAAAAGGCATTGTAAATTTTCAATAAAGACCATGCATACTGCATACAAATCCCAGGTGGCACTGGATACTTTATTAGTCATAGCTAAACAATAAACACATGCATACTGTGAAGGTATTTCTTCATACCAAATTTCCATAGGCAAAGAGTGCATAAATATTCTTCTAGTATTTCCAAACAATCACCAATGATTTGGCTTCTCTACAGTCAGTTTCAACAAAGATTTATGATCCATTCTTCCTCTATTTCCTAAATTTGAGCAGTGATATTTGACCCTTGTGATGATAAATATACTTGGCATTTTCCTTCATGAAGGCCATGTGTCATAATGTGAAGCCTGCCGACTGCAGGATGAAGCCCTTTATTTCCTTCTTCATGGCCACGAATAATTTATGGTAATTTATTGATTCCCAAGACCTTGTAATACAAACCTCAAACCGTATGACATTTTACTTACCAGCATGTTGAAATTTTCTTGAACAGTCAGCCTAGACTCCAATTTAAGGATTAACTCTGATCCATGAAAAATTTTACCCCAAAAAAAAGAAGGCAAGAATGAGAGGTAGAATAACTACAACGGAGTAATATATAGAACAGCTCCTTGGTAGTCGTCTATTATAAATCAAAATGCAACTGATATCCATACATAAAAGGTAGTTAGCCACTGCTTATATGCATAGGATCTACTCATAGTATACATCTGGACAGCATGCTTGAAAACACAATGAGTACTGAAAAGTGAATAACAGGAACAAAGTGAACCAGCCAGTGCAGAACTGATGTAGATTCATACAAACATTGTCGGTAATTGCTCACGCTTACTATAACCAAATTGTCACAATCAAATTTTCATCCTTAAGGTATGTCATATTGAGTACCAAAAGGCTCAGCTTTATCAAATTTCACAATATATGATTAAAATTTCGATGAAAGTAAATTTAACAAAATCGGTAACAATTTTTTAGGGGTTCAGTAAACTGACCTGTCGACCGCCAGTGACGTTGACGACCTTCTCCTCCAGTGACGCCGTCGACCAATCTCAGTCTTCGCCAAGGGTTTTGTCGATAGTCTCCTGTGGGAATAAGGGAGGTGGGGATGAGAATCTGAGGCTTTCTATATATGCGTGGCATCCTTCGGAGACGCTTGGGTGATCGAGGAAGATCACGATTTCTCTAGGCGACGAAGTCGAACAGACGACTTGGGGAGTCGAACAGACGAAGCCGATCTTGGGAAATGAAGAACGGGGGAAAGAACGACAGCTAAGAATGAAGCGGCGGAGCTAAGAATGCAGCGGCGGAGCTTTGGGAACTGAGGGGGCGGAGCTAAGAACGAAGCGACAGAGTATTTTGGAAATTGAAATGGCGGAGAGAAGAACTTCAATGGGACGCCAGGTGGCAGCTTCAATGGGATGGGTATTCTTTGCCAAGTGGCGTTTTCAGAGGTATTCTTTGCCAAGTGGCGTTTTCAGAGGTAACTGTTTTTAGATATAGTATATAGATGTTATACGTTGGTTATGAATGTTACGCGTTGATTTTAAGGTTATGTGTTGGTTGTTAAGGTTACATGTTGGTTGTTAAGCTTAACATTCACAACCAACGCATAACCTTCACAACCAACATTTATTCTTAACAATCAACATGTAATCATAACACTAACCTGTAACCGTAACAACTAACGTGTAACCTTAACAAGCTATGCGTAATCTTAACAACCAACGTGTAACCTTGACAACCAACACGTAAATCGCTTGGCTTTTGACGTTAAAAGCTTCTCTTTTCTCAATAACAATTCATATCTCCTCTTTTCTCAATAACAATCCATATCTTAGAGATCTCACTACAATCTTTGTCTCGGAGATTACACAGCTGGGGGGGGGTGCAACTCAGGAAAAGTTGTTCTTTATCTATTTCAGATAACCCAAGAAAATTAAAAAAGGTAAAAATGAGGCCCAACAATAAATCATCATCATCTTCATCTAAGCGAGCCAATCGAACCCAACCCATAAACCCAAACTCATCCCCTCACTCCTCTCCTCAAGCCTCCGCCTCTCTCGACTCCCCTCTTTCGGCCTCAGACGACGTTAAGATTCTCGATGATCTACAGGAACAGTACACCGCCAACACTCATAGCTTCCCTTACAGCGTGAAGGAGCAGTGCTGAGAGAAGGCGGAGAGGGTGAAGGGCCGAGATCCCGACCGGTGGCAGCGGGACCCACTTGGAAATCTGGTGTATAGAGATCCCACTACAATCTCATATCTCGGAGATCCTTAGGTGCGAGGGCCCTCGGGCCGGATAGCAAGCGCCTGGAGGAGGGCGAGCCACTGGGTAGGGTCGGAGGAGGCGTAGAGGTCAATGACGTGGATGACCTCTCGGCGTCCATGGACTCGACGATGGCCTGGTTGGAGACGAGGAAGGAGAGGCGGAGGAAGGGGAAGAGGTCGAGGAAGTGTCGACGGGAAGAGGTCGAGGAAGCGTCAGACTTGAGCTCGAGAACGCCGCTGGGACGACGACGGTCGGGGACAGGGATATCAGGGAGAAGCACTGGAGGGGGAGGAGGTGATCAATGCCCATAAGAGAGATAAATGGTATTATAGTCTTTACCTGTGTAAAATTCTTGGGTTTTGTGTTTTGGGGCTCAGTGCATAGTTCTTACGAATTTGAGGGTTTTGAGAGCGTTGAAATAGTCTTGGGGGAACACGTTTTCATTGGTTTTGGGGGCCGGAAGCATTATCCCCTAATTTATAACTACTTGGAATTGGAAAATCCCATATCCAGCACTGAAGAAAATTGTGTACAAGACATACAATAACAATGAACAAAGACGTGCACTCACGTGGAATAGAAATGAAAAGCCAATGCACGGTTAAGAATAATCCCAAACATGAGGATTAAAACCCACATAACATTTCTGAAGGTAAATTGACGCATGCAGATGCCCTTTACAATAGAATTTCAGATAGTTCTTCTCTTATAAAAAATGTCACAAGCTTCATAACATCTATCCTACATTTAAGAGAACAAGGTCACAGAAATAAAAGATAGACCACAAGTAAAGATTTCCTTGGATTATATAAAGATTTCCTTCGATTATGTAACTTTGGCCTTTATAACTATTACACTACTATCTTAAAAACATTGATATTTTCAATACAAAGAAGTCTCCAGCCATTCTTACTGCTTAGCAGCTGCTGC